CCTTCCATCACTGGGGGTTTTCAAGATGTGACTGGACAGGCTGCTGGGTAATCTAGTCCACGCTCCCTTTCCTGGGAGGGGCTGGACCAGATGGTCTTCTGAGGTTTCTTCAAACTTGTACTGTACTGTGATTCTGTGAATAAACCAGGCAGTGAAGACTAATCAGCATTTCCTCTTAGTCAGGTGCTATCAAAGGGCACATAAATCAGTCCTCAGACTTCTCACAGCCTTTTAGGAAGGCAAATAGAACCCCCAGAGTGTGTGAGACTCTAGGATTGGACATGTCATTCTTGTATACCTTTCCAAACAGTGTTTTAGGTGCTTCTCCCTAATGTGAAAGGATCCTTTGCGATTTCTGCAGCGTATCTGCTCTTTTGAGGAGAGTGAAGTTCTTCTCCCTTGCGCTCCTCCATGCAGTGTTGCAGGTGTCCCGTTCCCTCAGCAGTGCTGGGGCCCAGTCCTCACTGGGTAGAGCTGAGCTCAGCCATTCCAACCAGCTACTCGTTGGACTGAAAGTTTCTGCAGGCAGAGTTTGGACATTGAGAGCAGAGGCTACAATTGCCATGTTGTACATTTTATGAAGAGCTTTGAGAGGTGTTAATTAGTTTTGGTGTTTCTTTTCTTGTTGTGGTGGTTGGGAAAGCCTGAAAATGGGATGGGTAGAGAATGAGAAGCCAGCAGAAACTGGAAGTAACTGGTGTGTTGCCTGGTTCCTGCAGAAAACCACTCCCTGTTGTGGGAGGGCTGTCACCAGGAATATGAAACTGTTTCTTGCTGTTGATTTTTGTGAATGGTAGTTCCTGAGAAGTGTGCAGTTTCCCTCTTCTCTTCCCTCTTCTTCCAAGCTCTCCTGAAATCTCCACGACTCTGTCTGTTGGAGATACCTGCTTGTTGACCTGTTTCTGTGATGAGTGACTGTGACAACCTAATTGAAAATCTTCACCTTTTTGTGCTGGTGTGAGCTTCCTGAGGGTGTGACCCTTGCTGCCTGGAGCTGTAGGGGAGCTGAGTGTGAGGAGGAGGCTTTCCTGGGCAAAGGCAGCAGGTCTTAACATTGAGTAGCTGTTTTCATTCAGATGGAAGAATCGGTGGAACTGAGATCTGGGGACTGTAATGGTGATTGATTGTAGGTAATTTAAGATGAACAGCTGTGGAATGTTGGTGATTATTTCTTTTGAGATAACCACGTTTTTCTATGTTATCTGGAGAGGGATGCAGATACTGAAAACAATCTGAATGGCTAAAGAAGCAGTGGTGAAATCAACCTGTTTGTAAAACCTCTGTTGAATCACTGAGGTGCTGAAGTGAGTCCAGAGAAGGGGAATGAAGCTTGTGAAGGGTGTGGGGAACGTGTTTTAAGAGTGGCAGGGTGGTACTGGGATAGCCTGGAGAAGAGGAGGCTGAGGGGAGACCTTATTGCTCTCTATAAGTACCTGAAAGGAGGTTGGAGTGAGGTGGGGGTTTGTCTCTTCTCCCAGGTAACAAGCAATAGGACAAGAGGAAATGGGCTTCAGTTGTGCTAGAGGAGGTTTATATTGCACATTAGGAAGAATTTCTTTACTAGAAGAGTGATGAGGTATTGGAATGGGCTTCCCAGGGAGGTAGAGGAGTCACCATCCCTGGAGGTGTTCAAAAAGCATGTGGATGTGATACTTCAAGACATAGTTTAGTGGTCATGGGTAGTCTTGGGTTGGCAGTTGGACTTGATCTTAGAGGTGTTTTCCAACTGTAATGATTCTGAGATTCTGTGCAAATTCTTTGAACAATGAGTCTGTAAGCATAACTGTCTGCTGCAGAATTCACAAATAGGAAAACAATGTCAGGAATTAGATCTTAAAAAAAAAAAAAAAAAAGACAAAACCACAACAAAACAAAACCAAAACAACCAACCAACCAAAACTCAGAAGTGCAAGAGGGGATGAGTTAGACACTTGAGGACTTTATGCTGTATTTGCCTTACAGTCAGTTTTGAGATGCTCTTGGCTGTAGGTGTTGGAATCACTGCAGCTGATGTTAGCTTGTGTTAACAGAAAAATCCATCTGAGGATTAGCAGCTAAACAGATATTTGAACTGTACCTTTAAGCAAATATAGACTGAAATATGACATAAAAAAGACACTGGTGTTAACCTTTTTTGTTGTTCTGAGAACACTGACTTATCTTAAAAGCCAGAATGCTGCTTTATGTAGTGTGAGGCTGCACTGTAGACTAAGATTTCAAGTAGAGGTGGAGAAGTAATAGATTTGGACATGGGAACTTGACAGGCATTCCCCTTGAGTTTGAGAAATGAAGATGCACATTCATCTGGAATGTGTGTTTTAGCAAGCATTCTGTTTATGGTAGCAGACATGAAAATGGAGGGGCTGTGCTAGGGTAACAGACTAGCTCGGTGGTAGACTGGAAAACACAAAACCCTGGAGCTGGTTGAAACTGGATGCAGGCAAGACAGTTAAGAAGATTGCCTAAGACTGTGTATCTCCACTAGTCAAAGTTACCTTTCCTTAGGCCCTTCTAGCATTGTTGTCTGTGAGATTTTACATTTTCGCTAAAAAAAAATACCTGTTTTCTTTAATTACAAATGTAGTTTACTGCCTTCTCAGGAGAGATGAATAACTGGCTATGGTGAATGTGAGTACATGGCCTCTCTGGTGTACTGGTACAGTGTTCTTTCTGTACCTGAGATGGAGTACACTGTGCAAATGCATCCCCAGAATGCAAATTACATTTTATAATACTGCTTTTTAAGATTACTGTAAAGGAACCATCATGTATTTTCTCATTAAGCTCAGAAAGGTTCATCACTTGTCGTGTCATGTTCTCACATATTGCAGGTTAAATAATTAAGGCTGGGCTAAAAATTGGCTGTTCAGAAGCTGTCTCGTGTAATTGATAGGCTCCTGCCTCAGATTTGGTGCTGTTTGCCAGGAAAGGTGGACCAGGCTGATTTCTATGACTGCAGTTTCAGTCATTTGTTTTCAGTCTTCTGCTAAAGGGTTTGTTAGAGCATCAAGCTACTTCTCAGATTTTATTTCAACAAACTGAATGTGCTGTATTGTTCAGGCTTCTCGCTAGGAAGCGTTATCTTAGGTAATGAAAAACTTTCCTATTCCTGCTCTACTGATTGAAAATATGCAGAGCACAGTGACAAGGTGAGTCTCATCAGTGTCATACACAAGAGAACAGTGGTGCCTGATGTTACTGTTCCCCTCTGGATACACCTCAGAATACCATTAAGTCTTACAGCTTTAAACTTTGAATTTGTTATGTCTGCTGTACTTAGTACACCTTTCTGAGTGTCATGGTTGTCTTCTAGGATATAATCCCCAGTGTGTAGGTAAGATAGATTATGACCTAATATTAAACCATGTCTAGCACCTAGGTTATTTGAACAGTCCTGTTCTCAAACTGTGACCACCTGTGTGCTAATTATTGATTACAGTTATGCTAATATTGGTGTTATCCTCTAATTCTCTAATTTTGTCAGCCTCAATTTTCATGTTTGCTTCCTGGAAAACTGAAAGAGGTGGGCATAGCAAGCATCTGTGCCAAAATGTGGTAGAAATGCTACGATTCATGAATGCCCATTAAGTACTGCTTGGAGATGTTGGTTAGTTTTTAGCATATATGGGCCATTTTTAAAAGCACAGACAGCGCTTGATTTTAATCAGAACCTTACAAAGGATGAAGCCTCACACCTCCCACACATGAAATGCCTGCAGTTTCCCTTGGCCAACAGAGCTACATAGTTTTCCCAGGTATGTTTTGCAGGACCGATTTCTGTGAAATTGTTAATTTGCTACAATTAGTCATTTAATCTGTTATCACTTGCATCTGGGACAGTCTTTCCCTGTTACTTTGCCTGCATTGTATGGAGCTAAATAGTTTACAGTTAGGTATGCATCTGAAAGAGTATTTAGAATATTACATGTTCATTGAGTTCAAGCAGGATCCTCTGCTTACCTGTTTCTAAAATCAGTCCCAGTAATGCAGAGTCAACATCCTCGTGAGCCAAATTATTAACCTTGCTTATGTTACACTGTCATTTCTGTTTCATAATATGGGCTGCTTCTGGCCCTCTGTTGTCTTGAAAGTCACTTTTCTGTGATCTTCATTGATCCATGGCTTATCCATACTGTAAGAGCTACGAGTAAGACGTGATCTGAGGAAAACACTCTAGACAGTGACTAGTGGCTGTGCAGCTCCTTTCTCCAGAGAACAGAACAGCCAGGGAGCGTGTCTTGTTCAGAAGAGACTACATAGCTGAGCTTGCAGCATGCACCCTCTGGTATCTCTGCACGGCAGAAATATCAAGGTGCACTTCTGCTTTGAGAACAGTGACTTTTCAAATTGTTTGCTGTTGTAATCTTCGCTTTTGTCGTGAGGTTCCATGACACCTTTAAATGGGATGGAAGGAATCCAGAGAAGGAAAAATCCGTTGTTATGATGAGAGGAATGCCTGTTCAGTTGTGTGGCGACCCTTTTTTAAAAATATATAGTAGGGTGGGGTCAGGAAGATAGAGTTGAGTACATTGTAGGACCTTTCTGAGACAAGCTGAAGGAGCTTGAATAAGTGGTACGAAGTCATGAAATAATGAGCGAGTACTTAGTGAGAGTAAAGAAATGCTTGTGAGATAAGCCTCTGCTCAAGAGAAAGATTTAAGCTAATTGAAAAGATAAGTTGGCCATTAAGTCTAGACAAGTACCTGCTAAATTGTGTGCTGAAGGAGAAACATGATGGTGGGATGGTATCTTAATTACTTGGGGAAACTCTGGCTACTGGACTCTACTTTTCCTTAATGTTTTGTCTTCAGTGTCACTGACTAGCATTTTAATGATAGCAGTTTGCCTGGTAGTGCTTATACACACTTTCAACACCTAATGCCAAGTAAATAGTATGCTAGAGCATGACAGCAGTAGTGGCATGAACTTGTTTAGCGTGGGGTTGTGTTCACAAATCGGCAATATACTTGTGACCAACTTTGTTCTTCTTGCACTTCCAGATGGATGGAGGCTTGTTTGAATGAGGAGCTGCCTCCCACAACAGAGCTGGAAGAAGGATTGAGAAATGGAGTCTACCTGGCCAAACTTGGAAACTTCTTCTCCCCTAAAGTGGTTTCTGTGAAGAAAATCTATGATAGGGAGCAGACTAGATATAAGGTGAGAGCTGTTGTCTGTAGATACTCACTTAGGGAAACATCTAAAATAGGAAAAAGTGCATGCAGAGATACTGTGAGCAAATAAGCAGAAAGTTAGGTTATATTAGTATTACCTGAAAAACTCTACCTTCACTCTAGAACACTGGTTAAGTGAGGGGAAAGATGGACTCTTAACTTTATATCTGAGATTGCATTCAATTGTATATGGAAAACTTCTGACTTTGTTTTCTGTAAGAGTGCTGTTTTCACTACCCATCTTAATGAGCCTCCCTGCTGTTCTTGGCAGCTGTGATGTTTTCTTTCTTATGGCCCTACTTCTTGTTCCTGCCTATTTTTATTTCAGGCGACCGGTCTCCACTTCCGACACACAGATAATGTAATCCAGTGGTTGAATGCCATGGCTGAGATTGGTCTCCCCAAGGTAATGTCTATATTGTACATCCAGATAAATAATCTCAGAAGACCTTTACATTCTGGGGAAGCGTTTACTGTTGTACAAAAATCAGCAGGCTTCACCAAGTTAATTCTTCATTTTCTAGATTTGTGTCCCTATAGAAATTCTCTCATACAACTTGCTGAAAGTTTTCATTCTGCTATGTGTGTGAGAATGATTAGGGGCAAAATAGTTCCTCCTTATCTACCATATCCTTAATAGTGGCTAATCTTGCATAACACCTGCAATACATTTTTCTTTCCATGTGTTCTTTTGAGCAATATCTGGGCTACAGTATGGTTCTGGATTTTTTTTTTTTTTTTTTAGAAATCTTGTGTTAAAACAAACAGTGCAAGAGAAAATGATGTGTTGTCCATTTTGTCAGATCTCCCTATGAAATTTTCACATCAACTTGAAATGTTTGTCGTAGATTAATCAAATATGAATAATTTGCTTTGTTAGGGGAAAGGCAAGAAAATACTGTTGCTGAAAAATACACACGACTGTGTGCGGAAAATGCCGTTGCCAGA